TGACTTTTTAACAATAAAGCAAGATTCATGGAAGTTTTTAAAAACTCTCTGATAGAGCAATAAAAAAGCAACCTTTTTCATCAGGCTAAATAGCCTGCTGCTTTTAGTTGATATTACTAATTAGAACTACAATTATACTGACAGTAAAATTATTAATATACCATATCTTATGAATCCATTCCACAAAATTATTGAAAATGTGTTTAATGACAATAATGTGAATTAGAGATTACCAGTATTTTTCCATTACTTAGATTTTCAAATAAAACCCAAGTTTAAATAGACCATTACTAATGTTTAACACGTTGGCATGTGAATTATGATATGATGAAATACAAATATATAATTTATGGCCTGACCTTCTGTTTACCTCTGCTGTATAGCAACACCTGGCCACATTCTCTGTTGATTTTGTACATGGCTTAAAAGTATTTTTATTGTAAATAAATTATTATTGGCACCAATGTCAATTAAAATTTGTTTAATAAAATACATTAAAAAAGAAATAGCTAGGGGTGTATTTAGGGGGGACAGGCCAACCCCCCAGGCTCCACCCCTTTCCCCCCTTTTGGAAAGTAAAAAAAGGAAAGAAAAAAGAAAGAAAGAAAAAGAAAAAATTGATCCCCAAAAATGCCTCAGAGGTTATTTTTGGGCATCTAGAAAACATAAATTTCGATGGGGCATGCCCCCAGACCCCGTAAGGTGATTTTATCTCAGGGGCCCCCCCTCCCCTTTCTGACATCTCTGGATTCGCCCCTGAAAGCTTATGGAATTGTATTAAATAATCAAATATGAAAGAAGTAGCATGTAGGTGTATTGACATGGAGACTGGTGGGTTGGCACAAAGGTCAAGGGGGAACCACCTGAGAATTGAAGCAGTGATACTGTAGGTCTGTTTGCTGAGAAAACTTCCAGTTTTTAAAAAGCATTCATCCCTGCCACCACCTAACCTCCCTCATGGCCCACTCTCTTCTAATAGATATTTTAGTACTGCTCACATAATAAGAAACATGTTTCTAATACCAGATTGAACAATTTCACCTTATTGTAGCCAAATTTTGATTGGAAAAAAAAATTTGTTCAAATTTGGCAGTTAAGTCACACAACTTCCTGTTTATATTATATGCTAAATTATCCATGCAATGCAGGTACGACAACAAGCTGTGGCGGCCTGCACTTCGCACGCAATGTCACTACAAGTAGAGGAAAGTATGAATCCACAAAAGTGGAAATTTAAGTTTTTAAGAATCTGAAGGTTGGGAAATGACTGTATACACATTGATTGAAGGATGAATTTTAAGACTACAGAACACTCAAAGGTATGTGCTGTTCTAGTCACTTAAAAAAAAAGATAGAATTCAAAGAAAAAACAATGATGAAACATAGAGGGAAAGAGGACCTGAGTCACAGAAGTAGGCATTTTGGATTGGCACATGAAGAAATCAAAATACATATTTAATGGAATAAGCACCCCCTTGAATAAACTTTCCTCCCTAAATGAATGTAAGCAAAACTACTGGAAGCAACATCATTCTCAACACATTCTGTTAATGTTCTACTCCAGTAGTCTTTATGATCATGTATTTACACACGGTAATTATGTGTTGTAGTTCCACATTTATAGTGAAATTAAGGTGTGTTTATTTGAATATATGCGTATCCATCCATTTTACACCAAAAAAAATAACGCCTTCTCGAATAAACACCTCCCTCAAATATACACCCCTTGGCATTTATTTGAATAAATATGGCAATCTTCAGACTAAAAAGGATCAATAAAAACAAACCAAATGTAGCCAATTTAAAAAAATTCTTCATAAAAATGTTACAATTTAATTGTATGCTTTAATAATATGCTTTATAGCACAACAGAAGCTAAGCCCAGAATAAGGTATTTGGATGCCAAAGTTTTCAACATCATCGTCAAGCTCAATTTCCTCTAATGATCAATTCATTATTGCAACCTTTTTTCAGTTGAAATTGGTTTGTACGAGTATAGTCCAGTTTGTACATACTGTTGACTCTGTGATGAAACATTTGACGCCAGTGGCGTGACACAGGTTAACATTAAAGATCGTTGAACTTTTCACCCAATTGGCCATCGTATCTCGCTATTTAAATATGAAACATAAGTGTTTATAAGATATTTTCAGACTACTGAAACTAACAGTAATGTTAATATGCTAGATTTTCCTTTCAACAATTTTAATGTGGTCAATGCAACGATCAAACCATTGAGGCATTGAGAATGAAGTATGAACTTGCTCTCACCGATAAGATTTAGATTACAATCAATATTACACTGTAAAAAATAATTTATAAAAGTTTTCCTTTGAAATTAATTTAAATTTTTAAAAAGATTTACTTTAAATTTGTAAAAAACATTGGGTGATTATTAAGAACTACCTAATTTTGAAAATGTTTACATAAATTTTTATAATCTGATTTTTTTTATTGCTGAGGTGCTTAACGAGTTATGAATTTACTCCCTTTGACCCTGCATTATTTGGAAGGTATTACCACCTACTGTATTTCGGAATTCACAATTTTTTTCCCTTGTTGCTATAATAAATAATTTAATATTTAAAACAAAATAAATAGTTCTATAAAATTACATAACTAGAATAGTTAAATTACTTAACAAAAATTTGTGTATTCAATTTGAGAGGTTTATCTTTCTACTACTATTCTACATTAACCGACACATGACCTCTTGTATTTACCCATAATGCACTGTACTGCATTACCCATAATGATGTCATTATGTGTGATCTTGCATAAAAAACCAAATGTAGCTTGCACGTCTGCTTCTCACATTGTCTCCATGGAAACATATTGCATGTATGACGTCGTTCTTCAAATGAAAGATTTTGTCTCAACTATAACACACAATTTACAATTTAGATTTCATCTATCTGTTTTCATTTAGTATTAGCAAATAATGGTTTGTACCATTATAGTACTAAAAATAGATAGAATATTATATATTTTGGGTAATTCACATAATGGTTATATTTTGTACAAATTGTGGTCATTAACTTTTAATTCCGAAATTAGGACTTTAATTAAAACCATGTTTAAATTTGATTTTATTAATAGAAAGAACTATTTTACCTTGCTAAATAATGGGCACATAAATATGGTAATAACAAAAGTGACTACAATAGTAGTAACAAATAAAGATTTACATAGTAAAATGTTTAGTTACTGATTCTTTCTCTATTCTCATTTTCATTTTCCATGGAAATAAACATGTATTGAAAAAAAAAAGTATTATAGTTAGTATTATGGTGAAACCTGAGTGCATACGATTTGGAATGCTGTTATTATAATGCTATAATTATTCATCCATTCATTATTTTATCCATTCATCTTCCTTTTATAAACTTATTACTATATAAATCCATCATTCTATTTTCCATTCATCTATTCACCTCTCCATCTATCTAGCTATCCGTCATTCCATTTATTCACACATCTATCCATCTATTCACCATCAATCCATCTACTCACCTATCCATCCATATATTCATCTATCATTCCATTTATTCACATATATCTATTCCATATATTCACATATCTATCCATCTATTGACCCATCCATCCATCTACTTACCTATCCATCCATCTCTTCATCCACCATTCCAATTTATTCACCTATCAATCCACCTGTTCACCCAGATACATCTATCTATTCAGCCAACAATCTATGTATCCATGTCTCTATACATCTGTTTTCACCCATCAATTTGTTCAGCTATCCATCTAATCGCCCATTAAGGTATCCAACCTATCCATCTATCTATTCACCTGTCAAACTATACATCTGTTCACCTATCAAACTATACATCTATTCACCCATCAAACTATACATCTATTCACCCATCAAACTATACATCTATTCACCCATCAAACTATACATCTATTCACACAATAAACTATACATCTATTCACCCATCAAACTATACATCTATTCACACATCAAACTATACATCTGTTCACCTATCAAGCTATACATCTGTTCACCTATCAAACTATACATCTATTCACACATAAAACTATACATCTGTTCACCAATGAAACTATACATCTATTCACACATCAAACTATACATCTATTCACCCATCAAACTATACATCTATTCACCCATCAAACTATACATCTATTCACCTAACAATCTATTTAGCCATTTATTTACCCATGCATCCATCTACTGTATTAACATACTGGTATCTATCTATTCATTGTCGTCCATCTTTTCATCTATCCATCCATCCATTTATTTATTGTTATTCAAATATTCATCCATCCATTTATTTATCTATTCATCTGTTCAGCTGCCTATACATTCATTCGTCCATTTGTCCATCCACTTGCATGCTTACACAATCTTTCAACCAGCCAAACTTGGATATCCCCACATAGCATTGAATTTGTAATGATAAATATACCTGTGTTGGACCCCACTTAATTACCCCGTTTGATCCCACTCACACACATTAATAATCAGCGGAAAAAATATTAACAAGTTAATGCGTTATGAAAGGTGATGTGTTGCTTATAACTATGGGGCTACTATAGGTCTATCCCTTCCTGCTATATGAAAAACTGCCTACGCTTTTTTTTTTATAAGAACACATTTTATAAGAACACTGAGGCTGAAATTGCTTAAAAATGAAAGTA